CCAATCTAAGATCTTCTTTAAATTTGACTTCTGCTCCTCACCAAGGAATTTGTTCAAAAGCTTATTGATGATTAATGCCCAAAGAAGATGAACCAAGGCCTACATTTTCTAGGTTCCCTTAGCTTTCTCCCAAGACAATAGCTGTTGTAGCATTTAGAGCAGCTCGTAAAAAGGCAACGAAGCCATAGATGCCTCTATCAATTTCAACTTGTCATCCATTGAATTTAACTTGTCACTCAAATAGATTAAGATCTTCTTTGTGCCTTTATGAGCAAGGCACAAAGTTCAAAATTCAATTCAGCATTTGTCACAACTAAGGAAAAAGTGTAATTATATCAACCAATTAATAAGGACATAAACAAGGATCCTTTAGTTCTTATAACCAAACCGATGCATGACATTTCAGAATTCCAGCAGTTCCATGAAAATAAGTTAGTGTTTGCTGAGGATTAAATTAGGGATGACTGACAACGGGGTAGAGAAGGTTCAAGGTTTTAGCACTGTTTCTAAAATTTAAATTAAATAATAAGCCAGCAAACCGGTGTCATTGAAGAGAAATTAGATAATAGAGATAAGAAGATAGAGAAGAAGAATAAATGGAAAAGAAAAAATTAGAAGAAGAAAACCAATCAAAATCTCTCAAAACAAATCACTATGGCTGCAATTATCAATTCAACATTCACTTACTCCAAAAATAATATTACAAGCCCATTTACAGATTCTTAAACCCCAATAAAGTAAATCCTAACCCTTAAAATTGAAATCTCAGCCCATAATTAAAGATGATGGGATATCTTTCTTTTTTTCCTAGTTGGTACTCACACACTTGTCTCTTCTGAGACTTGAACCCCTGACCTCCCTTTGGGAAGTAAGAGGCTGATACTGCTAGGCCACTGGCTCGTTGGTATGACGGGATATCTTAAATACCAGGCCAGGTGAAAAAGAAGAAATAATTTGCCTTCCCTCCAGAGGTTGGGAAAAAAATTGCCAAGCAAAGCTTGAAATGAAACACTACCTAAATTTTCCATCACAACAATTTAGTAACATTTAGAGGGGAAAGCAAAGAGAAAGAAGAAAAAGCTTGTGAACAAGTTTTCATTTCAGGTGGAAGAACTTTGAATACAGATAGTATATATATGATTAGGCTTGGAATGAATTCGTAACGAAGCCTTGCCTGAGAATGATAATGAATTCTAGATGCCAAGTGCATTCTTTCTTGGGACACAAAGGGGAATATCATAAAGTTTCCTTTCCTAGGATTGACTCTTTCCACTAATTACATTCACCAATTGTATCCTCTTATTAAAACCATACTTTCTTTTCTTCAAAATCTCACTCTCATCTATCCCTATTGCAATTAATTAAACCTTCTGTCCGTAATTCTCAGGGAACTCAAATAAGAGAGAATGAGGGCCTTGTGATCATCCCTTGCACACGTCATAGATAATGTGCTGTAATGCTATTGCTTAATCCATCACTATTTCTTCATTTATAAGGGGAGGAACGGAAAAAGAGAAAAAGAAAAGTCAGCAGGTATAGCATTGCAGATGATTTCAAAAATAAAATAAAATATACGCCATACAGCGGACAATATTTTTTTTTTCTAGGCAAGAAGAGGACTTCACATTTAGCTTGACTCAGACTGGATACCACCTGGCCTACTAGGCTCGTGAGAAAACGATATAATTAAGAATATACTATTTAAAATTATTTCCCAGCGTAACAGCAGAAACAGAATAAGAAATGAAATCATTAAAATTCAACAGGAGTATTAACAAATGATCAATATGAAATCACCAATCAAGCCAAAACAACCAACTCAATATTGCATTCACTCTGCAAACCTTAAAACTAAACCCAATTTACCTCAACATGCTCATTCTCACAAAAACAAGATGACAATGACATGAATTTTTCGAAATAGCAGCGATGTGTGTGTTTGTGTGTCACTGAGAGAGAGATGATACCCTCCTCCCAGTCCCTGAGCCAAAAATTGGTAGCAACTATTAAAAAAAACAAGTTTTGAGTTAATGTGGACATTCAGAACACTAAGAAAACTACCCTACTATCACCTAAAATGCCAAAGGTCAATCCTTGAAGAACTGACCAAATACCTAGATTTGGGCACTCAACACTCAGACAAATTTTTGGAAGGCCACATCGATCCTTAAGGACCAAAATTGAGTGCTCACATCAAGGACCGTGCCACTAGATTGCCATGGATTATCTAAAACACCTAAGGGAAAAATCTCAAAGACAATGTCAACTCCTCAGTTCAAAGAGAAATTTATCAGCAAACTATTTAGATCTAAGACTAATCTGCACAAGTAAATAATAATTATTTACTCATACATTCACTCTAAATTTTACGTAGTATATGGTAAAGACGGATGCAATAAAGTAGAAAACAGCACGTATGATAACAATTTAAATACCCTCAAATGTCCACAATCAGGGACGAAGGCAGCATGGACCTAGGGGAGAACGTGCCCCCCCTGGGCCCATGCTGGCCCATTAAAAAATATATATATCTATGCACATAATTTTAAAAACATTTACAGAACGCCCCCCCAAACAATTATTCTTTTTAAAAAATCTCTCTAATTCTTTCTTTCTTTTCCTTCTTACTCTTCTTCTTCAATTTTTTTTTTTATAATTATTTTTTTATTCTGTTATAAAAAATAAAAATAAAATAAACTAAAATAAAAAATTGCATTCCCTTTCTTCAATCAAGTCCTAATTTTTTCCCCTTCAAAGTTCTCTCATATTTTTTTCTTTTCATTTTCTTCTTCTTTGCTTTTCTTCTTTCTTTTCTTTTTTTTTTTTTTTTTTAAATATATTTTTCTTGCACTCATGGATGATGTATGTATGCAGTAACTTTTTTTTTTCTGTCTTCTTATTCTTTTCTTTTTTTCTTCTCTTTCTACAAGTCTCGAAACCTTGACCTAGGATTTGGGAATTACGACCCAAAGCCACTAGGACAAAGGTGGACCAGTCTTCTTATTCTTTAAATTTCTTATTGGAATTTTATACAATTGGGGGCTTGTTTGGGAAATATATATATTTATTTTATAGTTCACATCTCAAGCTTATCTGATAAGGCATAAGGTGTGCCTTATAAGGTCTCATGCTGAAGCCACAAAATTGTACCTCAAGGTATTAGTAGTCTTACTCAGCAAACCTTTAGTTTCAACTACTAGGAGCTAACAGTCAAATATAAGACGCTGACTCAAACAACATTCCTAGCCGGCTTTGCAAGAATATCAAAGCAGACCAGGAAAAAAATTAAAATATATATACGTATATGTGATGAATTAAAATACATGTATTAAAAAGCGTTCTAAAAGGGGAACGCATCCCAAAAACTTGACCTGAGACTTGGGACTTAAAGACCAAAAGCCACCAAGACAAAGGCAGACTAGTAAGATGTGTAAATTTGTTACTGAACCAGTCGTTGATTGCATCTTCTTCACCATAGTGAAAAAAAAAATCTCCCAGATCACATGGGCAACGATTTTAAATTTAGAAAGCGCTTGATGAGCTTTACCTCAGATCTGTAATACTTTCAAACTAATTAATGCCTATGCAAGAAAACATCCATGATATGTATCAGGTGCAAGAACCGACAGGTATAGCAGTAATCTTCCACGTGAGCACGTTATATGCAGATGTTGATATAAATTAATGGCAAGACGAAGGAATAGCAAGACAATAAATCAAAGTATTAAGATTATAAGTCATGTGTTGGCAATTTCCTACTCAAAACTTGGGTTGTAGTGTATAGTCAGTTACCTACAGCACAGAAGATAGAAAGAGCTCAGAAGAAAACACGCCGGAAATCTCAGAAGGATCAATCACATAAGTATGTTAAGATAAGTTAAGACCATAAAGACCAATCATTACATAGGTACGATCTTTAAAATACTCAAAATTGTGTTTTAATCTTGTTTATCAAAATTGGTATTTTTGATAAAATGGAAATTGAGGGTTTTAACAACACAGTAAACCTCAATTGAATGGTCAATCAATCGAGATTTGCAGGGAAGCTTTTGAGAATCAATTTAGGATTCTTCATAAATTATCATACTATATCTGATTAGAGAATGAAAAACAAGGAGCTGAATTGAAACTACCAAACAGAGCATCAACATGGTGGTTCGCAAAGAACAAGTTGATGGGACGTCACTAGTTGTGGATATCAGAAGTCCATGGAGAAGCAGATTGTGTAAGAAGCGAGTCTATAAGACTTATTCAAAAAAGCGAATCTATAAGACCTACGCACCCCTACCCCCCTTCCCTCTAGGTGTAGTTCATCGCATGGACCATTATCTAATCAGAGCCTTTCGTAACCATCCTATACTTGTCAAAAAGAAATAATTCATTTGAGTTAATAACTTTAATGCAGTATTGGACTGAAGAACAGTGTTTTGAGAAGTTTAAAAATATGCAAATGCAATTACTACCAAGCAACATTAAGAATGATATAAACCAAAATAGGATAGTAAGGCCAAAAAAAATATATATTTGGTGTAGCCAACCACAACTAGTTTTAAGGCATTTTTTTTTCCATTTTTCAGTAAAATGAATAAATCTTTGTCCAACTAGTATCTAAAATTTGATTAATAAATTCACCCAGTCAAACCAATAGTTGCCTGAAACAGGAAAGGGAGCTGGATCCTGACAAACCCGTATCGACTGGCTAATCAAACCAGCTAAGATACCATTATTTTAGGACGTGTACACAAAATTTTAAGGTTAAATTAAAGCCAGGACTCAACTATTTTATCTAGGGCTATATTCTCCTTACTGAAATGGTCAATCTGTATTCTGTGTACCTTCGACATTGACCAATTTATAATAAATTAATAACTGATTACAATCATGCCATAATGGTAATGGTATCAATAAATGAATGAGCATGAGTGAAAAAATAAATTAAGTAAAGAGGTTCTAAATCAAGCAGAACTCTTCAGAATAACTCTGTGGTGAAAGTTAAAAACCTCAGCCCGAATAAGTTGAATGTCCTTTACTATAAACTCAGCAGCCCTATTTTGATCTTCTCCTTCAAGCACAGACACCACACTGTCCACCAAAGCATCCTCAACATTTGCACCGCCAAAGGCAGTCAAGTCAATATCTCCATCAGGAAGATAAGTTTTTAGAGGTACCGATCCAAATGGGAAGACCTATAGAAAGTTCAAGTAAGAAATTACTAAAACATAATCTTAACTACCAAAAGAAGACCTTCAGTTCTGCTCAAATCGGTGTATAAATTGCAAAATATATAATGAATTGTAATTCCATGAGGTACTAAAAGAGGAATGCAAAATAGCTAGAGAGAATTACCATATACAAAAATCACCTAAACACCAAGAAGTTATCAGAAATGTTGCAAAATTAATCACCTAACCATTGGTTGGTCCACCACAGCATCAGCTTCAACAAAATATTTCACATCTATAAAAACTTTTGATTTTACTTGCTAAAATCTCACGTAAGAAAAAATTATATTCAGCATTTACAACTCCTTAAGTACAAGCAAAAAAACCGAGTTTTTGGTTCAAAGATTTCATCAAAATCCCAGAAAAACAAATAAACATGTAGTAATTATTGTCATCAACCTGTATTCCATAATTTTGAGAAAGAAAATTCAATGTCATCGATAATTGATAACAAGTCCAAATCAACTTCTCCATGTCATAGTTGAGATTATATCCAACTATTCATCACACACTTTCAAAATCAAATATTACAGTGTCCAAGCATGCCGGAAGTCACACCATTCTGTTAATGAATGATACATCATGCTGGAATTATAGTTTTTCCAATTCTAGAGACAAATTTGGCAGGTAGAATTCAATCACAAGCATGACAGTGCGGAGCACTTGGCTTTTTCTAAAGTCTCTCACGTGTGCCTGTCTGGGCCTGGTGGGACTCGTTCCACATAGATAACCACGTCAGACTTCATTGACAGGCAATAGAACAGTGGTCATAACAAGATACTTGTGTGCAGAATTAACATCTGAGATTAAATCAGTGTTTTTGTCCTCATAATATTTAATATTTCTCAAAGCAAAATAGGACCAACAGCCACAGGTAATCCATATCATATTAGCTTTGGTAGGCTGATCAAGAAAAACAGAAAAGCTCAGTTGGGTAATTTTGACGAAATAGGTACAGGCAAAACTATTAGCACATAGAAACAGTGTACCCATATCCACAGTTTTGTTAATCAATTGACTCTCAGGTCACTGGGAAGAAATTATTGACTCAAATATATATTTTTTTTAAATGAACTCTTACCTTACCATTAGCTATGGAAAAATAAGATTTCACATGTCAAGTGTTTCGTCAAAACAAATTTTGTGTTCTTCAGGATAATTAGGAGAGATAAGTATTAAAAATACTAAGAAAAACACTAGAGTGCAGCAATGAGGTTTGTAACAGAAATTAGTTAGCCAAAGAAAGAGAGTGTGTTAGTCACTGAAAACTCCTCCGGATCAAAGCCTTGTTGAGGCAATAAATAAAGTTTATGGAGGTGAGTTGAGGATGAGAAATCCTTCCCGAAAGGTAAAGAGTGAGTTCAAGTCTAGATCTTGTGAAAATTAAGCACAAAATGAGGATCTATTTATAGTCAACAGAAGATGGGTGGTGTTACGCCAGCATAATAATATGGTCCAGTCATCCTGCAAGCTTTACTTCAAACCAATAGGATGTGCCACGTGCTTTTGGGCTGTCCAATTAGACCGGAGTAAGAAGAAGCATTATGGCTCCAGCATAAGCAGTTTTTGCCATAAAGGTGGCCGAGGTAACAAGCTTTCCATGCAACATGGGAAAGCTCCACACGTCAGAGGTGTGGTCCCTTAGGTGGTGACTCTGGAGGTTGCCGTGTCATCACGGTACATGTCATCTAAAAAATCAAAATACTGTGACTCTCTTGGAAGCAGGTTGAGGTGTGTTTGGATCGACCTTGCCACATGTCCCCGTTGCCTCCCACCTTCTTTGGTTGTGGGAATATGATAATCTTTGACCTTTCCCTCACCTCATTTTAACAGCCACTTCCATGTCATCGTAGGCACCACAGAGACTATAGTTACGGTTTGAAGCCATACGACTTCACCAGGGGGTTTGGCCAATAGCGGGCCATGAAATATTGAATGTCTCGTGGCAAGGTCACGTGGGTGATACTTCGACCTCATCATCGAGGCACTTGAACATTTGAGTCCCAATAGATAGTGCCATAATTCGTACCCTCAAGAGGGTTACGACACACTACCTACTCTCCCATGTCATAAAACATTCCACCCCTGCATCACCGGTCATTTACTACATTTTATTTTCCAAAAAATAGTGTTACCCTAAATCCAATGATATCGGCAACAGGCTTGCCTTTATAAACGGTTTAAAAATCCTCTAATCATCAAATAAGTCCACCAATGGAGTGATAATTTCATCCTATTCAAAATTTAACATAGCACTTGCTCTAAATCAAGTAACCAAATCTACAGAATCTCAATTTTCTCAGTTTGCTACACTACCATGTTCAAAACAAGCCAAGCATTTATGTGATGCTTCAATTATATGGCACAACAACTAATGAAGAAAACTCACCCTATAAGCAAAGCTTCCAAATTTAAAACTACCTCTTGCAAAAGATAACTATCAAATTCAATAGAATAGACAGAAATATATATAAACATGATTTTCTTTTGACAAGCAACGCAGATACGAAAATTGTATGTGTTCAAGTGTGTGTGTTTGAATTGGGTTGTTACCTCGCATCTGAGATAATTTCTAATTAACCTCTGAACATAATCTATGACTCCTCTCCTCCTTTCCTCGGACACGCAAGTGGGCTGAACATGACAAATAATCTTCTGGGTCGCTTCCTCTGCTCTGACCCACCGTTCCGCCCCAATTGACTTTGGGTTTGGGATCAACGACGAGGACGGCGACGGTACCGGCCTCTCTTCCGAAACGCCGACGCTTAGTTCTCGAAGATCTCCCATGAAAATCCCAACTTTCCGAGAATGCAAAAAACCAATTGATTCCTCACACCAACATACCCATTTCGCTGTTTGATCAAAATCGTCTGATTTTTTGAGTTTCTGTCTTGTGGACTGAAATTTGATCGATGAGGGTTTGCTGATATGGGCAAGAAGAGGCTACAGAGATGAACAAAAAGATGGGTGGTTTGTTGGGAAAACGATTGAATTGTAAGGTGGGATTGAGAGAAAAACCAGAGGGCTGTGTGTGAAATGGTTTTGTTGGGATTTGAGGAACGATCCAATCTACACTTATAAACGAGAGTACATTTTTTTTTATTTTTTATGTCAAAGTGAGGATTGACGATTTCTGTTCAATACGCAAAATCTGTTCATTTTTGTATGTACTTGATAGTATATATGTATATTATGTAAATCCCTTTTTTTCACATCTTCTTCCTTCTTTTTATTGGTTTTTTACCCTTCTCACGTTCATTTTTTACATAATTACATCATCATTCCACACCCTTCTTTTTTTTTTTTTTTTTTTTTTTTTTTGGCCCTCTTTTGTGATGCCACACATTCATGTCTCACCTGGCTTCCCATGTTTGAAACTTGCGTAAGTAAAGGATACAATACAATACAAACAAACACTATTGTTTGTTTGTATATGGCATAAATGGATTTGAATTGATTTAAAATGAATTAACATGATTAATTCATTTATTTAATTGTATCGAGTTATGATTGAGGAGTTCAATCTGTTTATGATTCGTTTAATTTCATGTGTTATAATTGTGAATATGACATGTAATATGTTACATTTTTTAACTCAATTATTATGAATAGTTAAGTCATTTTAATATAAAACTAGTCGGAGTCTTATGATTATTTTTCTTATTTTGAATATTTGGCTTAATTGTGACGAATTTTTTTATTATTTGATTAAATATTAAATGTGTTATTTTGATAACCAGACCATTAAATGGATTAACACATCTACTTATAAAAAATTTAAAAAAAATGGTTTAACACATTTACCCATTTAATAAACAGGCTGGATTAATATCGAGGGTTTTTAACACAATTATTAAATGAATCGAATTTGAATTTATCTGTTTATAATAATACCCTTACATTGATACGACATGATTATGATCTCGAACACGAATTACCACTCTTAGTAGAGGCTAACAGGATAAACATGGGGATGAATGATGGCAATTGTGTGGGTCGCACAGTGGAGTTGCTACAATAAAATGAATTAGTGTGAATTGAGAGTGAGTATTTTTTGTAAAACCTATCAGGAGTCTTTGTATATAAAACTAGGTATGGATATAGTTAGGAGCTCTAAACAACAAATTAATCGTTTTTAAAAGTTAATTTTAATTTAATTTTGATTGAATTAAGAAAAATAATTACAAATGCATCCAGAACTATTATTAAGGTCCAGAATGCCCTTTAAGCTTTTATTCCAAAATACTAAAATATCCTATAAAAAATTATATAATTTTATAATATTAAAATAGATAATTTAAAATTAGTTTGACTATTATTTAATTCAAATTGCTCAAAAATGTGATGCAAATCCCTAACCATGTTAAGATTTTTGTTAAAAAAGTAATGATAGGTCATATTTTACTTCTATGGAGGAGATAAAATCCAATGATTTGTCTTTTAGTAAAGGATGTTTAGATTCTTGAACGTTGCTCTTATAATCTCATTATAACCATCTATATATATATATATATTTATACTCTAATTTATAACAGAATGATTCTTTTTTCTTTTTCTTTTTTTTCTTTTTTTTTTTTTTTTTGAAGGGTAACAGATGACAAATTGAATGCTATGGTTTAACAGAATGATTCTTGTCAATAAAAAAGATGCAAACTTTTGTAGATGGATGTCATTTGATTAAATAGATTAGAGAATTCATCCATATTTGCTACAACTATTACAGATTTTTTTCCAAGTATAAATTCATTCTTAAATAATTTTATTTTATTATACAATTATTTACCATATTATGTAAATGGCATTATTGATAATGCTATCTTGGACTCCCATCTATTTAACTTATATTTAGAGTAATTAACACATTTTATTTCAGCTTTGGTATATGTCAAATTTTTTTTTCATAATTAACACTTGCTAAATTTAGCGCCTTAATATCACTTATTATTGAGCAATGTTATAGTTTTTTTTTTTTTTTTTTTTTTTTTTTTTTTAGTATTTTGGAAATATATGATTATTGATTATAAGAAGGTTATTTTGGTATTTTACAATAAGGGTTTGGAGGATATTTTGGGTCTGAATAATAATTTTTGATGCATTTGTAATTATTTTATTTGATTCAATTAAATTAAAAAATAAACTTTTAAAATAGACTATTTTGTTATTTAGGACTCCTAACTCTATTTATGTGTAGTTTTCCATATATATATATGTATATATATTTTATATTAATTGAGGCCAATTAACTAATAAAACATTATTCATTAATGATTTAGCGGTAATTAATTATATATATGAAAACTTAACCACATGTCACTTGTTGCAAATAAATACTCAGTAAAAAATATTAGATTTGAATCCGCACTCCCAAGTTCCAACCCTATTAAGGGATACCAACTTAATAATAAGTTTTTAAATTAATTTAATCATATAGTTAATCGCTTAATCAATCAATAACTGAGTAGGCATATAGCAAATTAGCAAACATGTGACATGATTTATTGTGGGGAAAAAAAAAATCAACGAACAAATTCATGTTACCTCGTTTGGAGCTAATCATTTCACCGTGCAAAGAATAATTATAATTTTCATGTGGGTCACACGGAGTTGGTACAATTGAATGAATTAAATGTGAGTCACCATCGTGTCTAGCATGTTTTGTAAGACCTAATATATATTTTTCACTGTGATATTAATTGAGGCGAATTAACTAACAGAACATTATTCATCAATGATTTAGTTAATCACATATATCAGAACTTAACCATATGCCACTTATTGCAAATAAATACTCCATAATAAATATTAGATTTGTAGCCAACCTAGCACTCCCAATGCTATACTTTTTCTTTTCTTTTCTTTATTTTTTTTCACAGCAAGAAATGTTCAAAGTTTGGAACTGATATGATACACTAATTCATTGGACTACAGAGACATATGCACTTCCATTATTATACAGTGATACCAATTTAGTAATAATTTTTAAATTAATCTAATCATATAATTAATCAAGCAATAAATGAGCAAGCACACTGCCAATTAGCAAACAAGTGACATGTTTTAACGTGAGAAAATAATAATAATAATAATAATAATAAATTCTAATGGAAAAATTCACGTGACCTCATTTGGAGATAACCATTAATTTTGACGTGGGTTGGACAACGAAATTGATAAATGCGAGTCATGATTATAGTTAGCATTTTTCTTGAAATCTAACCAAAGTCCTATATATATATGTTTTTCATTTTATTATTAATTGAGGCCAATTAACTAATAAAACATGCTTCATCGATGATTTAATTAATTATATCAAAACTTAACCATATGATACTTATTGCAAATATATACTCCGTAATAAATATTAGATTTGTATCCAATCTGGCGAAGCTTTTAAATTAATCTAATCATATAGTTAATCAAATAATAAATGAGCAAGCACGTGGTAAATTAGCAAACAGGTGACGTGATTTAATTTGAAAATTAAAATTCCAAAGAAAAAATTCAGGTGACTCCTTCTGGAGCTAACCATTCCAATATATAATAATAATTACAATATTTTTATTTGTTACGATTTTTCACAGAGACTTTGTGACTTAATATTATCTCCTCCTTAAATGAATTGTGAAGATTTGAATATCTAAAAGAATATAATAGGTGTGTGAGAGGGGAAAAAATTTTCACTCAATCTCCCTTTGTGATTTGTCTTTTCCATTATAATTGATATGTCCATAGCAAATATATGAAGTAATATGTTCTTTTGTTGCATCCCATCTTCTCCTCGCGCTAGACAAGGAAAGGCCTTGTGAGCCATAGGGATTTGTCAAGTTTCAACATAATAGTTTCACGGTTGATGTGTGTGAGGAGGGTGTAACTGTGTAAGGGTGAAATGATGGAAGCCTTATATGTAAAATGATGTAAAATTGATTGTCGAATTTTATATGGCTTGTTTAGACTATCGTTAATAGAGTCATTGAAGGCCTAAGGAGGCATGTGCCCCCTCAGCTGTCACTCAAGGTTGCGAGCAAAGAAAGTGATTTTAGAACTATAGCTGTTTACGAGCCAGGAAAGTATCCATATCTTGAATAGGAGTCAGTGTGCAAGGGAAGTCAAGGAAAGTCAACGTTGTGAGCCAGTCAAGCAAGCAAGTATCCGTCCCGTACTAATATATGTTGTAATTTTTTAAATTTTTTTCGTATAAGTGAAAAAAATTATACAGTGCCCCCTAAATTTTGTGATTTTTAAAATTATCTCTTTATTTTTATTTTTATTTTCTTTTACTCTTCAAATTCCTTAAATTTTCTTAATAGAAAAAGTCAAAATATTATTCCTCAATTGAAACTCTTTTAACTTTTTCGTATTAAAGTTATCTCATTTTTCTACTCATTAAAATTCTTCTTTTTAAAGTGTATATTTGAATAATTTTCTTCTTCTTGGTCTTTTGAAATTTACAATTGTGATATTATATATATATATACACACACACACACACATACTCCATACAATTATTTTTTGCACTGTGCCCCACCTCACTTGAAATCCTGGCTTTGTCCCTGACTGTCGAGCCAAATAAGTGTGTTGACACATTTTTTAGGATGGTTAAAGTGTGCGTTTTCGACTTGAAAGGGCAATTTTTCAAATGAACTTAAATTTTGCTAGCTCTATGTGACTTAGAGTGTATGAGGATGCGGCAAGTGGCATGGGCCGGATATGGGTCGCGGAAACAATATCGGGTCGAATGATTGAAGTAAGATCCATGCCAAAGCACCCTGGAATGGGCCGAACATGGGGGATCCACCGAGGAAGGTCAAGCCCATTACAAGACCCAGCCTAGAAGGAAGAGAGCTTTCGGATATAAGCCCAATGTAATTGGTTAACTGCAAAAGAGATCATGGCCTATAAATAGACCATGACAAGTAGAAAGTGAGAAGAGGCTAGAGAGAGAGAGAGAGAGAGAAGAAGTGAAATATTGTATCTTCAATTGGCGCCGTCTGTGGGAAACGAGGACGAAGGTCAATTCGAGCCCGATCAGTACCATATTAGTTCAATCGAGTTTGTGAATATGCAATGTGACTTCTGGAAGTTGAATCCAGATTAGTGAGATTGTAGTTTGTTCCGAGAGAATTCTTGCTTATTGTGGATTCTGAGGCATTTGCTTTGGAAGGA